AGTTAAAGGCGATTTATGCAAATTAAAGAAAATGTCTGCAAGTATTGCGAGTTGTTTATCGCTGGCTAACCAGAAAACGTAGCAGAAATTGGCCCAAGTGCCTGCAGCTTTGTTTAATGGTCGAAAGTACATATTTGCGTTTACTTTGCTCCCTGGGCCCTTTGCCCCCCAAATTCCTACTTTATTTTAGCGTTCATCCCTCTTTTTTTTGTGTTCACTCGCCTCGGGCATTTCTCAAGACGTTGTCAGGTCCTCAGCAGTAAATGCAGCTGCCACTTTGGCCAACTTGTTGTTGACTTGTTGCCACTCTGACCGTTCGGAAGGAAAAGCGGAAATGAAGTTGGCAATGCGGAAATGCCATTTTTCATGATTTCTCCATGCACACACACACTCGCACTCGCCCTCGCATTCGCTTTCCGTTTTCCCCTCTCTTTGTTTCCCACCCCATCTCGTGCTTCCCTTTTCGGTTTGCTTTTGACAAATTGTTTGGCGTTGCTGGTCCAATATTAACAGTGCATATCCATCTAGGGAGACCTAGTGCATCTGGGAATTGCCTTGGTCTTTTATCTAATTGGAGGAGTAGCCCCCCACATTGAAGGGTTTTACAAATGGGGGAAATGGCCAACAGCGATTGGAGTGGGATTTCAGGGAATTTAAACGAACAAAGATGAGTTAAACTCAAAGTAATGGCTCAATAAGGATATCCATCAATAGGAATTAAGTAAAAAATATTCTAAAAAAAAGTGCATCCATATTCAAACTAAAATAACTAAGATTTTTCTCAAATACCATTAGTTTTATTTTCATATATGCCTTCTAACGCCTACACAAAATTCTATTCACTTACCTGCTAGCAGAAAAGAAAAGAAATTTCATCGTTAACAAACAGATTCAATTTAGCACAAATATTGATGGTCATCGCAGACTATTTTTAATGGCTTTAAGCGAAAGTTCAGTGACTGGCGGTGGGGGCAGTGCTCAAGAAGCATCGATCATAAATGATGGAGTGCGGCAATCAAGATAAATGGTCCCGTCGAGTGCCGGAGCCATCGGGCCAAAGAAATTCACGATTCGACGGCCATTTATTGCTCGGCTCGATGACATCACGGCGTATGCGCAATGTGCGACGAGAACGATGGGGAACTATGAGTTTTAAAGTGGCGAAAACAAACAAATAGCCCCGAAAAAATCAAACAAACTATTTACAAATTGCTGGGCCCTTGAAGAAAGTCATAAATTGAATGCGTGGCAGGACGTGGCACGACATGAAAACATTATCGAATATGAAAGGAGAGCGCAGAAAGCGTTTAGAGCATAGTTTCCGGCCTTGTTTCTTGGCTCGAAATGGTTATGTGCACAAAAGGGCGGCAATCTTCGGCGGGGGTGCGGCCCAATTTTATGGGCTCAAACATTTTTTACGAGCACTTACTTCCGCCCCAGAAATTAGACAACTGCTGGGAACCGTTTATGCCCGAAAGGGTGTTGCCATCCAAAATGCTTCCCAATAAGCCGACGCGAGACTGAGACTGGGCTCAGTCCTCAGTTCTCTCGGTACCCTATCTCTGCGAATTTATGATGTGTGTAGCAATTGGGCTATTGTTAAGGTCGCCCTTGGCCATCCACTCGAGTATGTCATGCAAATTCTGCTTATTTTATTTAATGCGAATTTTACGAGTGCCCAGGAAGGGATTAATTTGCCACAGGCAGTGTCTCAATTTTCGGCCCCTGGATAAATAATAATTTCCATTGGGGCTGGCTTATTTCCCCTGGATAACTCTTTCTGTTGCTTTGTTTTTTGTTGGCAATTCAGTGATGCTTAAAATTTAACTTTCCGTTATTTGTCATGTTTTGTTTGTCTGGTGTTTTGGTTTACCCGTTGGCGCAATTTATGCATGAGGAAGCCAAAAGGCTGCGGTACGTGCAGCGTCTGCTGCTAAGCCTAAAAGTATGCATAACTAAAAAGAGCACGTTCCGCAGATAACAGAGCAGCAAACGGAAAGGAAAGCAAGAAAAGTGGGACAAGAAAAACAAGCCATTGATAACTGTGTGCAGAGAAACAAAAAAAAGTCAACTAAACAAGATATTCTCGGAAAATCTTTACGACTTTATCTGAAAAATACGAAGCTTTGAATTTTCAGGCCCCCAGATTTTCATGTGCCAACTTTTCATACGAAATAAAGTCAATTAGGTTTTATTTTTTCCACAGTGCACTTATATTTTCGTGATTTTTGGGCCATCCCATTTTCCGATTGTGTGCGTGTGGGACAACAGATATGTTTGTTATTTAGGCAAATGATTTTTCGCTTTGGGGCCCGCTGCCAATGATGTGGAAAATGCAAGCTAGAGCGCAGCTGTGGCCAAAGTGCTGCCATATAAATAGGTCACAAGGTCGCAGCAGCATAAAGGCCGGGAATGCTCAAAGCCAAACAATAATAAAGACCAAATAGAAAGAGCACTAATGCTAAACGGAAACCGGGCAAACCGCGCAGCGGTTTCAATGGAAAAACTCCATCGCTATCGAGGAAAGCGAAATTGCAAACTAATGCAGTCAAAGCATTGCGAAAACATCAAGGTACAATATAAATACAAAAACTATAATAACACTGGAACCGAATGCAAACTGGAAGCAACCCAGAGAGCCAGGCCAATGCGAAGCGGCAAAAGTGACAGACAAATATTGTGGCGAAATTGAACGAAGGACGGAGCCACGGCAAAGGAAAATCCTGGGTCTGGAAATAAATCAAATCACATTATACTGACTCAGTATAAAAGCAGCTCGAGTCCTCAGAAAGTAAATAACATTTCTATTTCCTTAAGCCTGTCCTTGACGGCTGAGGTAGTGAGACCAAAGCAAAGCTTTAAAATAAAGTAGAATTATGAAAAATAATACTTGTATTTTTCATATTCCGAACAATAAATTGTGTTCTTTTATTTTCAATAATCATATAATAAAGTGAAATTCTCGTTGATTTGTATTTTTATTCTATAAATAAACAAGCTTTCACAGTATTATTTTAATAAAAGCCAATGATGAAGATCAACAATTCCAGGTTTATTTCCCAGATTTTCTTATGTCCGAAATAAAAAACTACACTTGGATCAAAACAATGCGGTGAATAAAGCTCAACTATTGATGACTGTTGCTTTACTCAATTTCATATGTAAATAGTAACCAAAGTCCCAAGCAAAAAGTATGCCAGAGTTTTACAATTTCAGCTTTTTCTGACTGCCAAGCCAATTTTTCATACCACAAATATATAGCACACATATATATATATTTGCATGAGCTGCCGTGTAAAAACAAATAAGGCAACATCAATTAAAAACAATAAATAAAAGCCGGAAAAACTTTGGCATTGAATCAGCAGAAGTCCAAACGGAAAATGAAAACGAAACCAAGCCGAAACGGAAAACAAATCATCGCCGGGCGCAGGCATTTAACAATAGTTTATTGCCTTTTCTCTAAACAAGATCCAAGCAGCGAGCCCTATTTGTTCTGGCGGGTAAAAAATTTGTTCGAAACCACAGGCTGTTGCCAGAGCCTTTGGAAAATCCCTGCCACAACTTTTTCGCCCCCATATTCTCCGACTCACTCAACATGAATATCAATATTTGTAAGCAACTGTTGTAATTTACATATACATATGTATCTCTGCCCGCCAAATTTTCCCTTTTTCCCGGCCGACATAAAAACTTTTTAATTTTCGTTTTCATGGCCACAAGCCGCCGCTTCGTTCTGCTTCTCCACGTTGATTGCACATCATTTTCCACGAGCAAGTCTATTTTTTCGCCGTTTCCATTTGCCACGAGCTTATGTATGTACGGCTTAGCGACGTATTAAACAATTGAAAAGCATTTCCACAGGCTGCCGCAGCCGCAGTCGCAGCTCAGCAACAACAACAACAAGGATACGTATAGAAATCCAGCATGGCAGAGGGAAAAGCGGAAAAATTGATTGCCATTTCAGGGGCAATTTTTAATGAACAGCAAATAACAATGACCCCAAGGGCTTACCCATAGAAATGTTTAACAAATGAAAAGCACATCACAAAATGCTGCTGTGTACATGCCACAAGTTACAAATCAAATTTGGGGAAATGACATTTCTGGCATCCGCTTAATTGTTTATTTTCATTTTAGATTTTCGTATTTATTTTGGTAATTGAATCGTAAGTTGGAAATGACATTAAGCGAAGTGCAAGGATGATGAGTTTAAAGTGAAAAGTTTAGTTTACATGATATATTATATACTTAAACCCACTTATAAATTCTTATTTTCTTGGTAAACCACAATGTTCTTTGGTGAAATAGTATGTACCCAACACAGATACAAATAAGTTAGATTTTTACCCTCTTCGACATCTTGTTTGTATTTTTTTTAAATGGCTCCAGCTTAAATGCTTTTAGTTTAGAACTCCCCTGACATCCTGGCAATCTGTTCTAGTCCCGTCAACAATCCGCACCTATGTCAAATATTTTTCCAACCAGCTTAACCATTCAAACTCAGGAGGCCCGGCTGACGTAAAATGTTTTTGATGTCCGCCACGCCAAATGTGGCAAATGCCTGGCCAACATGCCGCATAAATAAAATGCCCCAAATGCACTCGACTAAACACACTCGGCTACACCTCCACCCACCCACACACATCCAGTCAATATTTGGAAAGCGAATTCGTTTTAGGGTTTTGGGGAATTGCGAGGCAAATTTATTTGCTGCCATGTGTAGCGAATTTTGTTAGCACTCGAGAACTCAACAAATTGTTGCTAAACTATGTTATGCACTTGCAATCTTGGCACGATAAAACTTTGGTCTAGTATAAAAAAAGAGCTCAGAAAATAGTATGAAGTTAGAGGTTATTCGAGTACAAAAAGATAAATATCAGATTTAAGCTTGTAAAAAATGTATAAAAACATACATTCTGTTTAGCGAAATTTCAAATAAAAATCCCAACCATTTAGGCTTTAAAAAAAAATTAATAACCTTATATTTCTTCACTCACCTGAATTGGGTCCATTGCTATTCGGTCGCGCCGAGGGGGCTCCATCTCTGGCCTCCACCTCGAGGGCGTAGGCGCCCTTCTTCTCCCTGTCGAACACGGTTTTCGTGAAAATTTCACCGCTCTGCAGGTTGATTTCGAAAAACTCTTTGCCCTCGTTACGCGGCGAGTCGACAATGTAGTAGTAGACCTGTAAGGGAAAATACCACGCAAGATTCTCTGCTTTATTTCTGGACTTTTTTCTGGTTAATTAAAACATGGCTCACATACACTCTTCCCTTATGAAACTTCAAAAGGAGACAAATTAAAAATGAAATTCGAGAGTGAGGAAAGAGCGAAATTTAATTACTGCTTCGGACATTAAAGCGGAGCGCTAATGATAATCAAATCCCGCAACCTTTTGGGCGGAAAAGCGGGGACTATAAATGAAAACGCTAATTAGTGCGGACATTTCGCGCGTACATGCAAATTACTTGGCTTGAGGACACAAATTGTGGCCAAGGAAAAAGTATAAAGCGCAGAAAAGAAAAAAAACATGGAATGGCCAGCGCCAAAGTGCCATATTATTATAATCGCGAGGGCGTCTGAGAGATCCAATCCCCATCGCAGGCCCAGTCCCTTTCATCACAAAAGACCATCCCCTGCGGTTCTGCGCACCCTGCATTTTGCATTAGTTTCTCCGCAATGCTTTCTGGACCTTCAGCGAGGGGGCTTAGCACACACTTGGAAGGCGTGCAAAAATGTTAACTCTTTGACATTTATTAGCCGGCTGCCAGCTGATGGCCAAATGGAGGCACCGCGAAGGACGAAGGACGCGGTCAGCGAGGGAGAAAAAAACAATTACAAAGGCGTGAAAGGGTCGATGAAAGCGGAGGGGCCTTAAAACTGAGTAAAAACATCAAGATGGCGATGATAATGGTAATTTAAAGAGCTTTACGAAGGCCACTTTCCAAGCTTTTCAGGATACTTTCAGGGTTTTTGATTCTCTTAAAAATTTGGAAGCTAATTCAGGAAAAAAGAATTGGAGAGGCTTAAAAGAAGGCTTCTTACATAGATTTTAATGTTTAAAAGTATGATTTATGTATGTTCTTTAACCCCTTTAATTCATCGTTTAAGTTAAAGCCTGAAAATATAACCCAATTTCCTATACTTTTTTTTCTCTCCTTTACCATTATCCTCTTGCCTGTCTCTCTTCTCGCTTTCGAATATCCTTTTTTGTTCGGTTCCTCATCGTCAGCGCCATTAATTTGCTAGCAATCGTCTGGCATTTCCGCCAAATTCCCCCCGCACCCACACACACCAGCAGCACCCCCACCCACCTGGTCCTCGGTACTCACCTGATTATTTGGGAATGTGCCATCCTTGTCGATGGCATTCACCTGTGTCACTTTGGTGCCAATCGGTTCGCCCTCGAGCACCGTTTCCTGTTCGCGTTCGGTGAATAAGGGTATTTCATCATTAACATCCTCGAGCATTATGTAAACGGTCGCTTCCGATGCCAATTGCTGGGCTCCGTTGTTCTACAAAGTGAAGGGAAACAAAGGGGGAATGGAGTGAAAAAAAAACCAATTTAAAAAAAGGCTCACAACTCGGGATATATTTGATTTTTAATACAATTTTTTGCGTGGCCTGGACTTCTTGCTGTTTGTGTTTTAATTAAGCTGTAAAGTGCGTTTAATGAGTTTCGCTGGACGCTTTTTGCTTCCGATAAAATATTTGTTTATTAAACTGCAATCAAAGTTAAGCTCAGCGCAGCCCTTGATTAAAAAATGTTTGAAATATTTTACATATATTTTTTATATCAAGAACATATTTTTCCCCTTTGGCTACACACAAATTGAATGCATTGATGAGTATTTGAACGGAATGTCGCTTTCACCCTTTGTCAGATGATTGATTAAACAATGGTCATCAATCAGGCAGCAAATCTCATTGGCAACTTGTCATTTATTAGTTGTTTTATTGCCCAGCATTGGCCTTGTTAACATTCCTGGCCACCACGTTTATTTGCCCAGTATTTGGCACTCACATTTCGGCATTACGTTATTAATCAATGCATATGAAATCCATATACATAAGTGTGTAAACACATGTTTGCCCCAAAACTGACAGCAGCAAGGACGAGTGCCAGTGTCGAAATGAATTATTTATTTTGTGTTCATTTTCCTTGGCAAACATGTGTGATTAGTTGAGTCCTAATTAGGCTTCATATTGGCCAAGATGTGGGTTGAAGACTAAAGAAGGTCTTGTTGCTCAGAACTACTATAGTCGAGAGCAAATTTTAAGGCCAGTTTTAAATAATTTAATTTATTTAATTTCAGTGTTTATGTCATACAAAAATAATCCTCTTTATTCCTGAATTGTTTAAAATTTCAGCACCAACCGCAGGCTTGATAAAAATTATTATTTGACATGTTTTCCAGCCGCAGAGCAAGAAAAAAATGTGAATTAAAAATGAATGTCCCACTAATACATGGGAATATTTAAACATTCATGGCTTCAGGGAAACCGCAAAACTATTTTCCAAATTCATTTGGAATTTTGTCTCTTTTCACGGATGGATGGGACGAGGTAAACCCATTGGGGTCCATTAGCTTTTAGCTGGTAATTTGCAGGGAATAGTATAAATGAAACCTTGTCATGTATTAAATTGCCTGCACATGCGAAATGCAAAGTGTGGAATTGAATTTTTTGTAATATTCGTCATGGAGAAATTCCCATTAATATTTCAGCAGGCTGTTATATTTGTCCTTCCCTGAATAGCCAAACTAATGAGGACGCCGATGCAGTGGAAGTGCTACAACTTGACATTGATTGCGAATGCATTGATTACCGTTCAGCCGCGAGCTGTCAATCAATCAGTCAGTCAATCAGTTAGTTTCTAATGAATTTGAAACGAACCGAGGCACCCGCATTTGCATTTCCCCAACTTGGGGCGGTGGGCGGGTGCAAAGGCTCGCGCAAGTAATTAAAACTTTTCAAATCAAATAATTACAAACGTATTTGGCAGTCATTCTCAAATACAAAAGTCAAATACATGTCTAATTGAGCCTAAGACCAACTCGAAAACTTTCGGCTGCCGTCTGGGAATTGCGCAAACATTTTGCAACTTTAAATTGAATTCGTTTCGGGGCTGTCTTTGAATTTGGTTGCCTCCTCCTCCGGACTCACCTCGACACGTATGGTTAGATTGTACTCCTTGATGCTCTCGTAGTCCAGCGGATGATTCACTTTTATGTCGGCCCAAGTGTCGCCATTGTCCGGTCTTTGTTGCAAGTAGAACGTGTGAAATTTGTTCGTTTGGGCCGTTGACCCGGGCATCAGGCGATAGAAGACTGTGGGATTTCCCTCGATACCCGAACTGCAGACGTTGTGGCCAGGAGGGAATTTTTAAGCAATATTAGTAAGGTGGTAATAATAGTTTTTTATGGATTCACATACTGGCTACATGAAATTATGATTTCTCTACAAATTAAGTGGTTATTTCGTATACTTTTTTTTTTGTCAAAAAACAATTTCTTAATGGCGTAAAATAAAAAAAAAAAGAAAGCCTTGATTTAAGGAAATTTTATTCTTTAAATTCTCCAAGACTTTCTCACAACATTCACACACACACAAAAATATATATATAAAAAAAACACATGCCACATTACAAAATACAAAGGGCCGACGCATGAATCGAATTCTTGCTCTTAAATTAGGTGATTTGTGCGCTTTAAAAAATTCGTTCATTAATTAATTTCTCAAAGCGTCTTTGGTGCAATTTAAAAAGTTGAGAACCGAAAAAAAACAAAGGCAAAACCAACCGAATATAAACCAAATGGCCTCAAAAAATCTAATTGCCATTTGAGTGTGTCGGGAATGGGTTTTTCGGCACATGATAATGAAAAACAAATTAGGCGCAAAAAGACCAAAATCTGTATATATACACGCGGCGGCGTATACATATATATTTCGTTTGGGCCTGGACAACACTTGCATCTGACAGAACGCCTTAAGAACGGGTCTTAAGGATAAATGAAAACTGTCAGGACTGCGCCAAAATGTTGCCAAGGACAAAAAGCACAAAAAATTATTGTTGCGGAATGGGGGAGGTTGTGGTGGAGACGGGGGGTGGAGGAAAATGGTTGGGAAATTTGTGGATTGCATGAAATTTTCTTGGAGGTTTCTTTTGTTTCCTTCTTTTCTTGTTTTGTGTTTTGTGTTGTAGTTGTTCTGTGATTGGATGTAGTAGGTGTGAGTTGATTTTAATTTCATTGGTTCGTTGTGTTGGAAAACCGAAAATAAGGTGTATTTAAAAGATTTACACAACACTTTCTGTACACTCGGCACTCTTCGCTTGTTGTTCTGATAGTAGGTTGTATTGCAGTCTAGACTCTAGAGTATATCAGCTAGTGGGTAAAGGATAAGAAAATCATAGAACTAAACCGAAAAACTTATCAGTTTGCCCTCGACCTTGGCACGTGTTTCTTTCTGTGTGCTTCTCTGAGGACTCGAGGCGCCTCAAGAGCAAACACAATTATTATGATGTACGCGCACACTCGGGAGGGGAGTCCTTCGAAAGACCCTCCCCCAAACACTTAAACCCTCTCCTAATGGCGTCTAATGTATATATACATATTGTTAACAAATTTCTGTGCTGGGACATGACCAGATAATTGCGAGAAGAGAAAACGCAAACGCAAAAAGAAAACTCAGGATGAAAATGCTTTTTATTCGAAATAATTTAAACACATAAAAAACAGGCGAGAAAACAGAAGGCAGAACCCAAGCACGTTTAATAGATTGTAATTTCCTTAATATTGCGCTGGGGAACAGAAAGGAGGTGTACTTAAGGGCACTAAACTAACTCTATACAGCAGAATCTGGCTCAGGTGTGTGCAGGTGCGTATGTGCAGCATTCTCACGGTATAATTTTCATCTTTGTTTTCTAATTTTTTATACCTAGTTACGTTTGTTTTTATCTCGCTCTTGGCCTTTCGGCTTAAGTGCATTTGCTTTTAGTGCGGCGGCAGTGGAGGAAAGTGCATGGTAAAAAATATGGCATAATATAAAAACTGACTCGGACTGACGCATAATTAAAATGCCAGTGCCATGTGGATGGCTTGCCACGAAGATAAAACGCTGCCCGGGGAGATCCAAAGGAGCGCAGTGTCGTTGCGGGGGTCGAAAGTCATTTAAGTGCTCTGCTCCAAGTTTTTTTTTTAATTGCAATTATAAAAAACAAAACTTTGTTTGAAATAAACTTTCGCTGGCAAAGGGGGGGATTTGTATATGTATACATATTTTATTTCTGCCCCTGGCTGGCACTAAGTGGCAGGTAATTGAAACTGACCCGGCTCATCATGCGGCAAAGGTTAGCGACAAAGCCATTGCGAGTTTATGCAGTACTTTTATGTGTCCAAAAGAAAAAGAGCTGGAATAGTTGTATTTTCATTTTACGACGCTCGGATTACCCTTGGAAAAAAATAAACGGACACTTGTGCTTATCCTTTGCGACAAAAGAAGATTGCTTTGCCAGATTTTATTCAAGTTTTGAGCATTTTTTAAAAATTAGAAGGAGAATCTTCAATCCGTCAAATATATTATTATTAAGGCCCCATAAAGCTTGACTATTCTATCAAAACAAAGATAGTAATGTGCGTTTAATATACAATGTGAGAGTTGTGCAGTTTTTAGCATATAATCGTGTACATTTCACTGGTGCAGTTTAGAGTGCTTTATAAATGACTTGGAATTCTAGGGGACAGATGATATGGGGATAATGGCAGAAAGTTGGGTGAGCACATAAAGTAACAAAGGCAAGCCAACATCTAAGGAATATCAAGAGTAAACATTCAGAACACACAAATCAACGGCAAGACACAACACCAATAACCAATAAAATATTCATAAAAAAAAAAAAATTATAATAAAAACACCTATAAAAATATTTAAAAAATATATATGTTTTAAAATTCTTAAAAATAAACTAAGCAAAATGGAATGAAATTTATTTCATTTTATGAATAATGCTGTATTTATTTTTTTTTTGTGGTTAACTTTTTGCACGAAAAATGAACAGACCTGGCTTTGATCGAGACGACTTTGCCGCCGACGGGCATATTTTCCTTGACATAAATGGGCCCATAGACGGTATGATCCCAGACGGGCGGATTATTGGCACGATCGACCACATCGATCTGTACTTCGACAGTACGCGACAATGGCGGATAGCCCTTGTCTTGGGCCATTGCCTCTAACTTGTATGTCTCGCGCTGTATTTTGTATACATTTCGCGACCGACATTATCAAAAATCGTTTTAAAATCAAGCAAGGCGTGGCAAAAATGACAGACGCGTCGATATTGGTTGGTAAATACGATAATCGTTCAGGAAAAGGCAAAAAACAAAATGATATAATATATAGTTGGGAACATTTGTTTCAACAAGTCTCTAATAAAAAGTGTAATTATAGAACTTATAGTTTGGTTATAGGTAAAAAGTCAAAACTGAAAAGGGTAAGCCAACACCTCTTGAGAGAAAATGTTAAAACTGAATTTAAAAACGGGGAAATGAAAGAAAACACTTGTAAAGTTGACAAAAAGGTTTCAATTTCTTATATGCAGTGCAAATTATTTAATATAGTCTCGACCCTAGCCTTCAAAAATAAACTGTTTATATATATATAGATGTTGAATAAATATTTGTAGCATTTAAATAAATATTGTAGATATATTCAACTAAATGGATAATTTAATAAATAAATATTGGGCTTTGTGCATTTTATAAATACAATTTTCATAGCATACTTTACAAAGTTTGCTGCGGTTATATTTCTTTTTAGATTTCGACTATTGCTTTTTAACATTTTTGAACACTTTGTGTAGTTACCTGGTTTCTTAGAGCAATATTATATTATATTAACTGCAACCTTGTTCTGGGCGATTTTGAATGTTAGAGTAGCGTATTCACCAAATGAAAACCAACACCAAAAATTTCATTACGATCCTCACAATATTTCAGGCATGTGGGGGGGCTTTTCTTTTTATCGAAGGGGAAATTTCACAGATAAGAGGAGGAAAAGCTAGACCAATGGGTTATGTGTGAGAGAGACAGAGAAAAGACCTTGATTTGTCAAAATTCAAAAGATTCCAAGGAACAACCACTAAAAAAAAAGGATGGTTCTCCTCAAAATAAACACCAGATTTTCCAATATTTTCCATTTCCATTTTCGATTGGTTTTTCTTGTATTTAAAGAGCTTATCGTTTGGTGTCAAACTCGGGTTAGCTTTTACGATATGCCACCACAAAAAGGACATCCGTAACAGCGTAGACCGTAGAGACCGTATGTTAAAAATACATTAATGCTATGTTAGCCAATCGCTAAATGCTGTTATGCTAATGTTAGGGCAGACCCACAGCTGTTAGACTCGTTTAGGTTTAGTTTTAGTTTTAATATAGATTTAGTCTTAGTCTTAGTGTTAGGTGTTGACTGGGGACCTTGTTGGCTATACAAACCTTGCCTTAACCGATGTTACAACCGTGCCCACAGTGACATTCTCGCGTATGTGAATGGGGCCGTAAATGCTCTTATCCCAAATGGGCGGCTTATTATTGCGATCGACGACATCTAACTCAACGTCGACATCGGCGGCTGAGGGCGGAGTGCCCTTATCGGAGGCGCTAACCCTCAAGCGATAGCGGTCGCGCTGTTGATTGATTTCGAGGGATTTGATTGAATTTCGGATTGAAGCGGTGGTACACAATGTTAGCGTTAGCAGCGAACGGGGGCGGGTTAACATTGCAAGGAGTAGTCGAGGCCCGAACCCAAAATGTTAGAGTTGGTTACGTTTTTGGGTTTGTGTATTGGGTGTACGTTACGTTACGATTACGTAATTGATGGCATCGTTGTTTAAATGTTTGTTTTTTTCATATTTCAAAAGTTGTTACAGGTTTATGAAACATAAAAAGCAAATTAAATAGACAACAAAAATTGTATAAAATATTTAATATAATAGGGTCTTTGGATCGGGATTAGTACGGGTGATATAGCATGGTTGTAAGGATGGTTGACATAAAAGGTTGGTCTTTTGACGAGACTATTTCTGGCTCTCATGGGAGCTATCCTAAGATGAGGTGAAGCTGTAGCTTCACAACTATACAACTATACTTAAAATGAAGTACAGTGTGCTCCTTGAGTTAGTTTAGATTGAAGATTAGCTTACAGTTTTTAATTTTAGGTTTAAGTTTTTGTGAAATTGCGATTTTTGGGGGTTAGCACAGTAACACAGTTAACGCATTTGGTTGCATTTACTTACTGGATAACAACCCTAAATCGTTGACAGTACCATGATTTTGTATATGTAAATATAAACGGGAAATTAAAAATGAAAACATTAAAATGCCTCGATCAGCTACCCTCTCGAATACATAGAAATTAGAGAAAATCATAGGATAAAGGTGCAGTTGAAAGGAAAATACTTTAAGTAACATATCCTAACATCCTCTTGGGTGTCTTTTGGCCACATTTTTGATGGGCATGCAAAATGAAATGTTCTTCAAAAATATATATATATGTTAAACATTGTTTCAAAAATATATAAACTTGAGCTAAGGCAAAAAATGTGTTAAACTTGCAGCAAGAGACCTTCAAAAAGTTGTATAGTCTCGACAAAAAGTTGTTGTTTTGAGGTTGTTTTGGGATTTTCATTTTTTATATTTTCTTTTTCGGGTAAAAATCATAAAAGGCATTACAAAATCAAGCTATGGGGAAAAGGAAACTATAACTATTGTTATATTGTACTAATTTATTTGGTTAAAACCTTCAAAAATTGGTTACAACGATGCTCAAAAATATTCGTGATCGTTCTCGTTCCGCCTTTAGATGTTTCCTTTATTTACATTATCCTTAAGCCCATAAACCTGGCACCAAAAAAATATTAAACAGCCCAAACCCCCGATATTTTTGGTTTTCTATTCACATTCTGTGTTAGTTTGAATTGTTCCAAAAAATGTTAAAAATCAATTCGCTTTCTCGGCATTCTCTGCCCGTGTTTAGGTTACTTTCTTTGGCCAATTTCACGCACTATGAACTAAACAAAATAATCGATGGAACCAAATAAAAATACTCGTTTAAGTTATATCCGAGCGCAGATGTCGCGGGATGTGGCAAAAAACTTGCACTGCTTGCACATCAAACTCAAATTGACCTAAGACTGTTTGGCGGTCTTGTAAAATATTTAAATAGAAAACAAAGGAAAGGTGCAGTTTGAAAGGAAACGAAAAACGAAAACAATAAGATTTATAGATGTATCTACAAGCCGCCTAAACTCTCTAGGGCTTGTTACTTCTTCGCTGAATTTGTTAGTAAAAAATAAGAGCATTTTTGTTTTCCTTGATAAATAAGTAAAATTAAAATAATTTAACTCGGTTAGTTGGGACTTGGCAAACTCAAAATAGGGGTAATTGATATTTGTAACGTTTTAGGGGATCACTTGAAAAGCAAACACTTACGTCAAGCGGCTTCTTGAGCACAATCCAGCCGGACTCGGCCTGAATTTCAAAGTATTCCAGATCGTTGGGATTGAAGGGAGCAGTCAGGCTGTATACAATGGCGCCATTGTTGTCGGCATCTTCATCGGAGGCTGAGACACGCAGGATATTGGTGCCAATGCTGGCATCCTGCTTCACATTCTCCACGTATTTCTGGAGGTAAAAAAGTAGTTGTTAGATATTTAATTACAACGAAACTACGTTGCACTCACCTGACGATCGAAGAGCGGCGGATTGTCGTTGACATCCGTGATCTCTACCGTGAAGGAGCAGACTCCCTCCAGGCTGGGATCTCCCTGATCCGTGGCCTTAACAGTCACCGATACGAACTTGCCATCGTCGCCCTCGCGATCGAAGACCTTGTTGGTGGACACCTCGCCGGTTTCCTCGTCAACCGTGAATTTGGTTCCCTTCTGGTTCGGCTGCTGAACAATCGAGTATTTCACCTGTCGCAAGGAACATGCAAAATTGTTTAATGATTGACACAAATTGCGATTAGAGGCAGAGGGGCGTTTGACCTCGGCACACGACATGCACTTTACGGTGCATTGAACTTGGGAGCACGAAAAGAAAATTATGGCCAAATCTCGTCATGGAATCTCTATATCGCCTCCACACACCCACATGAGTTGGTAATGCAATTAGGTGTGGGTAATCATGTTTGCTTTGGCCTCAAAACACAAATAACTTATAATTAATCTGCCTGTCCGACCACCGAAGGGGGAAAGTAATTAGGCAAAGGATAATCAGGAGAGGCCTTGAGGGGTGGTTTGGTTATTGGTAATAGCTAGTGGGTACATCTAAATTAGTTAATGCACAAACACAACCTAATAACGTAGAGGGAAAGGCGACTTTGAATTTTCTTTTGTGCCCAACTCTGTTCAATATAACCTTTGTTCCTTACCTGTCCGTTCACACCCTTATCCTCGTCGGTGGCCACCACCTTGATGACAGGACTGCCATTGGGAGCTCCCTCCTCCACCTTGGGGTAATAGGTACTGCAGTCCTTGAACACCGGCTTGTTGTCGTTGACATCGGTGATGAAGACCACGACGACTGCGGTCGAGGTGTGGATCGTTTGGTCGCCATTCACACAACACGATCCATCGTCCATGGCAGTGACATTCAGCTCGTACTTGTCCCGATCCAGAGATATGGCCTTGTTGTGCAGTCGGATCACACCGGTGATATCCTCGATGACGAACTGGCCGGACGAAGTGCCGCCGCCAACGAAACCGAACCTCACATTGTCGCCATCCTTGTCCGAGGCCACCACTGTGGTGACCAGGGTATTGGGGCCGGCATTCTCATCCACATTCGGGGTATACACCTGCTGCGAGAACTTGGGCTCCTCGTCGTTCTTGTTCTTGGTGTAAACGCGAACCGTGGCCGTTCCCGACTTGGCCGGTTCACCCTTGTCCTTGGCCGTGACTATGAACTCGTAGTAGGCATTGTTGTTATCCGCATCCAGTTGCTTGTTGTTGACGATAATTCCATTTGAATCCACAGCAAAGTGGTCGTCGGAAACCAGGTACTCGATTTCGGCATTCGATCCGGAATCCGCATCCATGGCTTTTACGCGGAGTATACTGGTTCCCAGGGGAATGTCCTCGTCCACATTATGAGCCTGGTAGTCGGGTAGCTCGAATTTGGGGGCATTGTCGTTCACATCCGTAACGCGAATAGTGAGCTGAAAAATACATTTTCAATTTAGTTATATATATATTTTTTTAAAGAAATTAATAATGAAAAGTATGGTCCAAGCTTTGAATATTTCTCCTGCTTCATTTTAATATTGCTGCATTTTATTTTAAATTCACTTCCATCAGACTTTTTCAGCTGTCTTTTTCAGAACTTTCACAGGAGAAATACATATATCACAAGGCTTGCGCACATCTCAGCGGGGATTTCCCCAATTCACTCACATCGACGGAGGTGGAGAATCCGCCAGAATCCTCGGTGGCTGTCACAATCAGCGAGTAGACATGCGGCTGACGCAGATCCTCAAAGTCCAACTCCTTGGCCAACTTGACAATGCCCGATGTGGGTCCAATGTTAAAGGTGCCGGCTCCCTGGCCCTGGGCCTTCAGCGTGTAACGGATCTCGCGGTCTGCAAACGACTTGGCCTTAATCGAAATGATGCTGGAAAAGCAGGAGAGGGAAAGCGGAAAAGTTAGCAGCGGGAAATGTAAAATTTGCTTGCATATTTTATGTCCATCCAAGGGCCACTTCAAGTCCTGAATGTGTGTGTGTGCTTGTCACTCGCTCCACTGCCTTTTGACAGTTGTTTTCCCATCAGAATTTCAATGAAGACCAACAAACGCACACACAGACTGTGCAGGATAAGCAGACACACAGACACACACACACATAGAGTACCCCACAGTCTGGTTCACATTGTTATGCATAACTTTTATTGGCAGCCCCACAAAATTTGCATACACTGGGGCAGAAATGCTGACTTAGAATTATGGCTTCACTTCTGGGATTTGCAACTGTTGGACTTTTGTAAAACTTGAATACAAAACTCAATCGGACTATCGAAATGTTTGATATTTACTCTATATGGATATAAGTTTTATATCTGTCTTTAAGTTGAGTTTTGGATTAGAATTAAGTTTTTGATAATAATAAAATTATTGGAAAATAAGAAGGATTATAAACAGATTTTTCTTTACAATTTGAAAACAATGAAATAAAAATTAAAATATTTGCTAACTTTCCTAATATGTGTGTATCTGTCATCCTTATTTAAGGCGAACCAATTTATTTTTAAGTTTTCCCCACATTCCCGATTTTCCCCAGTGCTTAGCTTCGACTTACTCCGAGTCCTTTTTCTGGTTCTCCGGTATCTCAGCCTCATAGCTGGGCATATAGAACTGTGGGGCCCGCTTGCCACCCACAATCGATAGGCGTTCCTCCGGTGTGCTCTGAAATCGGCGATCGTCGACCTTCCCGTTCTGATCCTCGGCCTTCACGTACAGGACATACTCCATGTCCAGCTGGAAGAGATCCGTGCCCCGCGTCCTCACCACGCCAGATCGCTCGTCCACCTCGAAGCGTCCGCCAGTTCGATCGCGAACGATAAAGTAATGGATATTATGATCCGTATCCGGATCGCGGGCCTGGAGAGTAAACACCGGTGTGTTGGGTGGTGCGTTCAGTTGCACCACAGCCTGCATGGGCAGCGGCCGATTAATGAAGTACGGCGGCTCATCGTTGACGTCCTTCACCAGGATTATGACCCTCTGGTTATCCGTGTACTTGATGCCAGCTGGAAAAAGGGAAAATGCAAGGAAAATCATGAGAACATGGCTTTTCTGAGTGGCTTGTTTGTATTTTTATGCCCTGTGCTTGGATTGCCAAAACTTTTGCCTTTTGTTATTACAACTAATGGATAGTGGTTAGGGGTGTAGCTTTGTCGGAATAGGGGTGGTATCACCCCCTCCTCCCTCACCCCCTCACTCCCTTTTGTAATTTAAGGCTCTTGGATTACAGTTAAGACCTTCAAAGTGCAATCAGCCGGAAAAGCAGTCTCAAGGCAAGGGCAAAATGTTGTTGTTTAAAAAGCTGATAAAATTGTTACAAGTTCTTGATGGTAAACGTTATTATTGACTGACTTAAGGACTTTTTAGACATAAAAAGTATTAAAGGTTTTGTGAAATCTTAAGTCATAACATTTATATTTGGTTATTTACTCATTAGTTTGAAAATTGTTTCTAAAAGTTATGAAAAGGTTTATTAACGCTCGCTCATTTTATACATTCTTATCCTTCCCAAATATATTTATAAATATTTGTAAAGGGCTTGGTCTAAGCTTATTCAACGTTGGCAACTTATAATTTCCACTAAACATGCACCCAATAAATTTCTCCCTCACAAAAAATGGTTAAACTTGAAAAAAATCAATATTAGGCAGTAAAAAGAGAAAGGTAAAGAAGTAATGCAGGGGTCGCATTTTTTCTTTTGTTGCAAAAAATGTCTGCACCGGAAAATTCCAATCATGTTGTTGTGTTCTTCCTTGTATTTCTTTTTTTTCTGAATTTTATTTCTTTGTTGTTGTTTGGGGCAAACAAGGGGAACCACCGAACTGACGGACGCTTATTAGAGGCGTGTATGTTTCGTTGTGTTGTTAAGAGGTAAGTTGGATATATTTTTATAAGGAAGAGTTTATTGTAATTAAATAAATCCAAATAACCTTTAAACAATATTAAAATAATATAAAAGTCTATTAAATAATATCTAAATATGTTTGTGTATATTTCCAAAAGTCCTGTAATGCTTGTAACAAACTTGAGGTATCATGAAGTCTATAAACTTTAAACTTCTATTTTGAAAAAGAAGCAATGTGGATGGTGGGCGGTGGATGGTCGGCAGAAGTAGCAGGTAAATAAAGCAGACGATTTACCTGCCCCCAACTTTCACACAAAGGAAATTCGAGCGCCTTATAAAAAAAAGGGGCAGCGAGAAAAATAAAAAAGAGAATGAAGGATAAAAAGAAGTGAACCAAAATGGGGGTGAAGCATGTGTAATTTCTCAAGAGCAGCAAAGTGAATTGTAAACAGGTTGGAAAGGCTAACCCTTAACCCGTGTAAGCAAATATTGCAATTGAAACAAAGACGCAGCGAAGTTTTCAAATAACACGGAAAAAAACTCGGGGAAATAAACAACATTTTCGCTCAACAGATTGTACAGAAAATGCAACGAAAAAAAGTTTGCTAGGAAAGCACATAAAGAAAATGCCATGGATCGGGAGGGAAACTCTGAGAGGGCCAGAGAAAGTGGGGGCAAGTGCAAGTTGGCAGAGTTATTTGCTGATTCTTGCCAACTTTTGTTATTTCCCTGCCAGCTTGGCATTGTAACGCTTTTCTATGGCTTATTGTGCTAGCGCCAAGCAGGTAAAAAATTGCAAAAGAAATAATGCTATACTACTATATATATATATATATATATAACTCGAAATTTAAATAATATGGAGCGAGCTTTATTGTTATGGCTATGTGTGAGGCGGCACTAATGTGCACTGGGATTGGGTTTTTCGCGCTGAGAAAAGCAGGAGCAGCAGCAGCCAACATGGCGGATTTCCGTGGCGACAATGCACACGATGGCCGGGAAAATGGCTGCGGGAAAACGGGGAAATAAAATGGAAAATGCCTTTTGTGGCCTGACAGAGGAATAATGCGAGTGTGTGTGCGGCAGGATTAAAATGCGCAGAGCGAGAAGGATTTTCATTATGTTCGGCGCTACAACAAGCATGAATAAATGTGATTTGTGATTAAGTTTTTCGTGAGGGAAAATACAGCTTAGTTGAACCATTAAAAGCAAAAAGAGAGAGAGAGAATAATAACGATATTTTTAAAAATGGAATAGTATTTAAAAGCTCCTTAAACCAATTTTATAGTGTATAAAATACCTTCAAAGTTCAAGGTTTCTATACAAGTTTCATTGAACTTATTCGCTGCATAAATGTTGCCATAATGAGCCATCTTCTTCGTCACTTAGTCCCAAACACATTCATTCATTTCAATTTAATAAAACTTCTTGGCACTCTGCGACCCCGTTTTTACACACCCCTAAACCGCTTTCATGGCTTCCTCTTTCTTATCAGAAAAGCCATATACTCGTGCATATGCACATTAAGTGACTGTCACACGCGATGCGGACTGAGGAGAGATCCTTGAGGAGTCAAAACCATGCAGCTACTATACTACTCGTAATCACTGCCAAGGGATGCCATTTCCCACCCACAGCCGCTCCGAAAACTCCCCTTCGGAGTCATAGCCATTGTCATCATAAGCTAGCCAAGGGGATGCAGTGGCAGTGGCTCCGCTGGGCGAGATCAGGGGGCGCTTCGAGCCCAAAGAGCGGGAGTCAGGGGGTCGCACACAGAGGTTAGCACTAAATGCAACGCCCAAAAGCAGACGGGAAATATTCTGTAACGGCTTTGTCTCCATTCCCGTTTGCATTGCACTTCAGACGCGCTTTGAGACAACAATGAAGCCAGAGGGAAACACGGTTGAAGGGAAATGCCTTGAAATACTAAAGGGAAATGAAGTTGAGAAGAATTTGAAGAGTAGCAAATACTCTTTCGAAAATAATTCCCTAAAATTTTGTAAGCCATGTAAAATTTTTTATGAATTTTTGCTTCAGTTTCCTGAATTAAATTTAGAAAAAATTGAGTTTCGCACGGAATAAAATTTAAATACAGTTTAGAGTTTCTCTAATTGAACTTGTATACCAGGGAGCTTTGAAAAAGGAAGCCTTAGTCGCCTGAGGTTAAAGTTTTCAAGAACTGCTATAGCTGCACCTATAGCTGTCCCCCTTTTCCCGTATCTCTCCATCTCTATCCACAAACAATACAAAAGTCGAAGGGAAAAAGTGCGAGACTGTCGTCGTGGATAGGAAAACAAAGCAGCTTATTGTTTCAATGGATTAAGTAGAAGGCAGAGCCCAAAGTGAGAGATGCTGCACTGAGCCAAAGAAATAAAGGGAGAAAGAGAGGAGAATATAAGCGCGAAAGAGACGGGGAGGGCAGCTCATCACGGCTCAGACGATGATTTTTAGGGGATGTGGCTCAACGTCTGTGGTGGCTTTTTCAAGTGGGTGCCAGCTTGAACTTTTTCAAGTTCCTTCCCCCTTACATTTCCCTTTTTTCACCCACATTTTCCAAACCCCCCTCACAATTCTCCACCACGCCCATAGGCTCATTGCCTTTGCGGAAGCAAACCAATCTGTGAGATGTGAGATGCGCGAATAAAAATTGAATTTGTTAGGACAATTGACAACTGTGCTACGTGCAGCATTGATGTAATTTTTCCAACATAAACACAATTTGTGCCTTTATATTGCGACGACCTTTTGACATATGAAAGTCAAAGAAAGTTCAGAATTTAGTGACCAGTTCTTATTTTTTATTTAAAGGATTAGTAGTCTGATTCGGAAATTAAATTAAAATCTTGGTAAGATTATTAAATATTGTAAAGTAAATCCAGAATTTTTAAAATAATGTATTTTGCTAGCTATAAAATGACTAAAAGCGTATTCATATTTCCGCAACAAATTATGAAATCATTAAACTTGCACATTTCTTTATTTTGGTTATCAGCCACTCGCAAAATGTTCTCGATTTTTCACCACAATTTAACGGCAAGTTAACTTTTATGACTTGCTTGGGGGACCGTGCCTTTTGGGAGCTCCCCCCGCAACCCCGGAGCCCGAACAATTGACACCCCACGGATGTTCAACATAATCAGGAGGGTCAAAATGCGGTTCGGTTCGGTTCGGTTCGGGGCTCTCGGCTTGATTAAAATGCAGTCAAGTCGAAACTTTATTCCAGGTACGCCCTCTCCAAATGAATTTCTTCATTTTCCTCTGCGGCTTGAATGGAAAAAACTTGGGAGCAAGCAGGGCTTGCCAGCGGTATAAGTATGTACGTGCAAGAAATACAAGTACAATGTTGAGCAGTTTTCCCTCTGCCTGCCCCCCTTCGAAATATTTTTATGGCTGGTGTAATATTTTCGCCTTTTCTGGGTAGCTGAGAGCTCTTTGCCTTTTTTACGGCCATCCCTTTGCCATGAACTTAATGAAGCTGTTAACAATGGATTCCGGGGAATCCGAGTAAGAAAGTAGGAAAAGACCATTGCCAAATATTGAACATACATACTTATTGATTGAAGCGGGCGATGAGAATCGGAGCTAATTCGGATTGAAGTTTCTGCGCGCTTTGCCATGATTGCACTGGAGAAAAGTGGCAAATATCCGGCGAAAAAGAAACAGAAGCTGGAATAATCGAATCAGAGAGCTTGAGCAAACTCAAGGGGTTCCCTTGGACGCAACAGCAATCGATGGATAGCCGGCTTGCAGTTGAGGACATGAGTCCAGGGGAAAACTTTGCGATATAATGAACTAAGAAGTAAGTTTTGTTTGCTTTTTGATAAATTGTTTCTCTTGAAGAAATTGAAAGATTGCTATTGTGTGCTTTGGCTTATCTTGTTAAGAGAATCGTAAGAATTTAATTTTAAACACCTATAAAACTTCTTAGGAACCAGTTCTTTGGCAGCGCTAAATGCAAATGAATTATTAACTAGCATAGTCGCTAAAACTAATATCTTGCTCGCAAACCTGTTTGCAGATTGCCATGCTTAATGAAAACATTTTGCGGCCTTTAAAAATTTGTCAAGGCACAGCCAGATGGCAAATGCCAGATATGCAACCCAAGAGATACAGTCTGGGGAGTGCACGCATCCGAGAGATGCAGCCACAGCGTGAAGCCCT